ACAATCCACAAAGTACACTAAATGAAAGTCCAATTACATACTCATTCATTTTTTTCATAAAAAAATTACATAACATAAAAATAAAAAAAAATACAAACATAAGTACATCAATCTCATTCTAAATATCGAAATCCCAAACTATTTCATCGTCGCCTTGATCAGCAGGTGGATCGGGTTGATACTGAGTATATCGGGGGCATTCAAAAAATGTAACATCAGACTCTCCTCTGTGGTGTCGGGCCTGAGCATCATAATAGGCTATCTCAAAATCAGAATGACTCTGCAGGTACTCACTATCATAATCATGTCGGCATTCTAAACCTCCAATCCTCTCATTTATCAAATCTATGATTTTCCTCTGCAAGGTCAACTCATTCATCAAATCTGCTAAGGTAGGGGAGCTAGAAGGAGGGTCATAACTTATAGAGGGAACGTCTCTACTAGTAAAAGGTTCCTGACTCCTACTTCCAGTTCTCCATTTCTCATGGGATACATATGTTTTCAAATTTGATTTACTAATGGGGTTCATAGGGTGAACCCACTCTTCCTCTTTAGCTTCCACTCCAGAAAGTTGGCAAAGTGCATAAATAAGTCCAGGATGTCCTAGACCTCCACTAGTCTCACTTCTTGCCATAGTCAATATATTCTTGAAAATAATATTCCCCACATTTATAATTTTGTTATTTTGAATACAAAAATTCAGAATGGCTCTATCTCTAGTTACCTCACTATGGTGGTAAGTCGGTAACAGAGTAGAGGAAATGAAATAGTGTCACGCCTTAGAGGTGGCATTTAATATGGAAGCAGAAAATTTTACCCGTTCTCGCTGCTTTATCTTCCACGTTCCTTTCCCATCAGTAAGAAAGTTAATCACATCATTGAGGGGTTCTTCCATCGTACTAAAGGATTAATAGTGGTAGATGTAAGAATCTGGGACTTTATAAAAAGTTTTAATGTGAGCGGCGATAAATTCCACAGAACTCTACGCACTTGCACGATTTCATCTTCAACATAAATCACATTGGCGTAGAACTC